CTTTCCTTAAATGCTCTTCTGTTTGTATTGCACAAATCGAAAAAAATATACACCTAATATAAAATTGCGTCTTATGTCAAAGTGTTAAATACAATGAGATTCTTCTCACGTGACACCGGAAACGAGCTCCAACAAACAAACAAACGAACAAGAAACACATCGGCGTAGATGGAAAATAAACACGACTGGCTCTGACGTCCCGAATACTGCTGGGACTGAACGACGTCACTCTTTCTCTCTCCAACGCCGAGGTGGACGAATAATTGATGTTCTTCGCGCGCAGTTGGGTCAGACATTCTAAATACCTGGAACTGAACCTCGCACTGCTTCGGTGATCAACTCTCCTTCTCCCTCCCCTCCCTTCTCTCCCTCACCCCTCTCCTTCTCCCCTTCTCCTTCTCCTTCTCCCTCACCCCTCCCTTCTCCTTCTCCCTCACCCTCTCCTTCTCCCCTTCCTCTCCTTCTCCTTCCCTCTCCTACTCCCCTTTCCTCTCGTAATCCTTTTCCCTCACCCCTTTCGTTCTCCCCCTCCCTCTCCTTCTCCCTCACCCCTCTCCTTCTCCCCTTCCCTTCCCTCTCCCTCACCCCTCATTGCCGCCACCAGGTGCTCTGCTGCCTTCTCTCCTCGAGCAACTAGATAGTTCCCTAGAATCATCCTGTGGAAACCTCATGCAACGCGTCGGGTCAAGTCTACCTAATTGCAAGGACAAAGGCAAGATAAACGGCCGGCTTGTTAAAATTGTGCGAGGCCCGACCCGATGGGTATTCGTCTATAGAGACATGCATATACGCGGAAATAAATGCATATCTGTCTATCTATCAGATATATATACATTTATCTATATTTAGACGGTAGATATGCATGTCTAGACTAACTGATACGCATTTTGTTCAGTGTATAATCATCGTTTAATGAATGTTCATTGGGTCGGGCCTCCAACAATTTCAACAAATCGGCCGAAAGACAGAAAGAATAACCTGTTAATACAACCTCCACGACCCGCAAGGCACGGCCATAAAACGAGGGGAAAAGGGGAGAAGGTCAGTGTAGGTGTGTCTAGGGTGACGCTTGTTTGCTCGGCCATTAGCTAGCTAGGAACCCGTGGGAGAGCAATACGCTCTGAGGGGGAAACTCGAGGGCGGGGCGGGGGGGGAGTGGGACGGGCGCCGGGCAGAGGGGAAGGGACGGAGGTAACACGGGGTAAGGAGGGGCTGCGGGGATGGCGACCCCTAAACAAGACCCCTCGTCGCCCTCGCACACACTTCCCTCCCCCCCGCCCCCCCCCTCGGTTCCGATTCCCTCCGCCAGGAAGTGTGGATTAATCGCGTCGAGAGAAGTAAAATATTTGCGCAACGTGACGCGCAACGGCGGTGTGGACACATGTTCGCCCAGACGACCGCTCTTATTACCCCCTTCCGAGGGCGCGCAGCCGCTTGGGTCGTCCCTGCTGACCCTGCTGACCCCCGACGCGCCTCTCCCCTTTCCCTGCCGCCTCAGCCCTTCCGAGAGGAGGGTGGCGATGGGAAATTACGCGAATTTATTCTGGAATATCGGAAGTGAACAACAGAATAGAAGGGTTTATTATATTACAAACAGAGATATTCATATGCGAAGGACAACAGAATAGCAAGGTTTATTATATTACAAACATAAATATTCATATGTGAATATAAGCCTCTCTGTCCCTCTTCCTTTGTCTCTATCCATGTCTTTCTGTCTGTCTGTCTGTCTATGTCTGTCTATGTCTACCTGTCTGCCTCTCCCTCTCAATCTGCGAACGTGCCCGTGATCAAATATTATCAATATAACTATCCCCATCAATTTCCCTGATATTACATCCGTTATTAGTCGACTGCAGAAAAGTTTGATATCATCCATCGATCACATCAACTATTAAAACCAAAACACAGAAACAAAAAATTATGACGTGATTACTGAGGTCACGTTGCAGTCGATCGAGTGTTGCAAAAAATTGAAAACTGACATATTAATACCTGCCTTAGTTTTGGCAAATATTTCTTTCATATAAACGGTATAATAACGTATAATGGGG